TAATATATTTTTTGTAGAGAATTTTACGGCACATCTTTTAAGAAAACAACAAAGCTTAGGGGATACAATTCAACTAAGATATGAGCAAAATACTAAGTGACCGATTTATTCTGGAACACCCGTTACATCAACGAAACAAAAAGTTGAAATCGTACCGCAAATTTATTACCTAAACAAACAGACAACGAAATCAGCAATCAACTACTTGATTGATACTATTAGGACCTGCAAAATAACATCATTTGTTTTCGATACGGAATCGGATCTGTCAACAACTCCAGCAAAACCACCAATAATTCAAATTCTCCCGATTCCATCGTTTTGTTCTCCACCAGTAGTTATTTTGATTGAAGTTCAATGGTTGCCAACCTTATCCTCGTCACATAGACAATTGATAAAACAATCATGTGATGTTATTTTTCAACAACCGCAGGAGTTCATTGCTTGTGGTAGGATTGATGATGAATTAGAGAAATTTCGACAATTTAATTTATTTAAAATGTCTAATATCATGCATATCCGAAATATGCAAAAAGAATTTCGGCCGTATTATAATCATACACATCGACATGCATCGGATTGTCGTGTTTTGGAACAAATTTCATTAGCAGATGATAAATTAGCTTTAGTTGCTCCACAGGACAATGTGGAATTTGATCATGACCCAGATTATGAATTATGCACATGCGAATTCAGACCTGACAAAGATCCTACTAACCAAATCCTTGAGCACTTCAACGTGCAATTGCCCTGGGATCTGAGCAGCTTTTAGATAAAGCATACACATGTGCCAAATGGTCTGGTGGAATTGATCTCAATCTGGGTACGTGGAAATTCGGTGATCCTGTTTTATGTTCACAACAAGAATCACTACGTCGTAAAATGGAACAATATGCAGTAAGCGATGTCTTTTCAGCTTTATATATTTTGCAGCAAAAGCAGTAACATCCTGGGAAAAAAAGTACGAAAAGTAGTAGGGCCAATCCAGAATTGATTCAACAGGCAGAAGGACAACAAACAACCGTTGTTGCATTCATCAATAATAATGCATCATCAATAACTGTTTAAAATCGTTCAACGAATCCGTCACCATTTCAAGCTGAACCTCAACAGCAACAAGACGAATGTGGAAGTATGGATACCTTAGTTGTATACATAAATGAATAAGAGCATTTTTCTTTTCGCTTTGATCTTCATTCCTGTCAGTAAGATCCATTTTTTCTTTCTAGTAAAGTATTATCCAGCTTCATTTTCATTTGTCCACTGGCACTGTATGTTACGATGGATATTTATACGATGTAAATCTCTCCTGACCCTGGATTGTTTTGATATTTGTCGTGATACCTATCGAAACATTTTGGACTCGAATCTCTGATTTTCGCTTGAAATGATTATTTTTGTCACCGCTCGAAGATTTTTCCACTGCTCTACGTGTTACAATCAAATTGGTTGAGCACTAGAGACACAACGAGGAGATGATTTAGTAAACGGAAAACGAAAAGAAGTAATAAATGTGACAAATATTAAAGATAGAATGAAGGCAGAGGAGGGAAATAAACAACACATGTAATCGAAAGAGAATGATTGAAAAATAAGAGTAAATACGAAAGAGAACAAGCGAGAGCAAATGTGAAAGACGTAACCCGTAACGCTCACGCTCAATCGATGATGAATGGGAAGCATCATTATGCTTTCGAAGTTAGTGGAAATACATTCTCTGGATACATATCGATTTGAATGTTTGTTTTTTGTCCTTGACCGAAATAATATTGTCTTGGAGTTTAAAAGTAAAGTGTGTCAACAGTTTTCTTACAAGCTCGATTTAAATTTGTCCTTGAGTTGTCGTAAAGCTTGCTCTGTTCTGATCAAATGCCAATGATCTAATGAAAAATGTTTCCTAAAGATAGTCTCTGCTTTTTGCAAACAGGAAATCGCTTGTGCTATATGATTTTGGTGATTGATCAGTTGATAACAAAAGCCCATGCCATAGTATGTCAGTCCAATATTGGCATGATCGGGTGGAAGAGATCTAGCGAATATTTGAAGACAGTCTTCATATTCTTCTAAAGCCAGATTGTATTGAGAGAAATATCGATAGTAATCGCCAATTTTTAATCGGACCATACCTATTTTCGGATGAATAAGAGGCAGACTCTTCCGGTAAATGCTAAGAGCTTTTTCGTAGAATTCTAACGGTTTCCATTCTTTTCGAAACAATTTTAATGAAATATTTGCCAGGTTAATGATAATTTCTGTGCTAACGGTAGCATCCCCTTTTCCTTCAGGTAAAGCCATTAATTGCCTCCATGCTTTTTCATATTTGACCCGAGCTTTTGCCAACTGTCCCAAATGTTCACAGACTTCACCGGTGAGAAGATGATAATAACATAAATATACCTGATGAGAAAAAGAATGAGGATCGTATTTTCGCAAGTACTCAGACCAATTCAGACAGGCGTTATAGTCACCTTTATTTCTAGCAACGAGTGCAAGTTGAAAATAATAAAAATCCAATCGTTCTTGAACTGCTTTTACATAATCACGTTTTCTGGGTTTTGATTTAAAAACTTGCCGAAGTTTTTTTAATAATTTGTCGTCTTCTTCTTCTTGTTGTTCGATGATGCGTGGATCGATTCGAGACCAATAATCAATTTTTTGTCGATAGTACCATTCAGTTTCATTGAATTTTCCACCCAAATGAAGTACACAACCCATTTGATCTGAGCCGTCAATGAGTTCGTGTTCTTTCAAGTATTTATAGATTCTGTTCAAATGATTTCCATCTGGTTTAAATAGAGGATTTTTAGATGATGGCAAATGTACCAAATGAACCTTCCAGAATACTTTTCCTTCTTTTCGAACATCAGTGATACGGAAAATACTACCAATTGAGAAAAGAACTTCTTCTTCTTCAGGGAAATCACTTTTTTCACTGATATTTGCAAACGGTATGTCATTAAAAGAGGGAATATCATCAATCTCAAGGCTAATTTCAAATAAAACTCGCTTTACATTGTCGTCATTTGTAACTTCAGGATCGCCGAGTAAAAACAAAGCATACGCTTTACTAAGTGTTGTTGATAGAAATGACTTCATCGATATGATATTGCCAAGAGAATATCGTAAAACATCAACTTCTTCTTTTGACATTAGTTGTGCACGATAGAAAGTTGTAGTTTTACTCATCGTCGTCATCTCATGAAGATGAGCTAGTTGTTCTAGTTGTTCATGAATGTCTCGAATAAAGAACTGAAAGAGTAATAAGATGTCGATATTTTCAAGACGCAGAGCTTTGTTAAGTAATCGATAGACAAATGAATCTCTTGTGTACCACATTAAAGCTTGATCTGGTGAATAACTACGTTGAAATGTATTAATTAATTTCAATTGGCTCTCAATACCATGATATTGCAGTGTACACATTTGAATGAAATCATCTACATTCCGACCGAGAAGAGCATCTTGATAAATGTGCATTTCCATAAGTGTTTCAATAAATAGATGAGAATGAATGAACGCTCCGGTTAGGTCTGTCGAAGATCGTTCTTCAGTTGCACTCCGAAGTTGTACATCGCAAATGGTAATTAAAAGCGGTTCTTCACTTTTCAATCTATTTTCTCGCTCAGCTAATTTCATTAGCGAGATCATTTTATCCAATTGATTTAGACGACATTTGACCTGCGAAAGTGGTAAAAATACAGCTGTTAATCTTGTCAATCTTGTACCATGAAAAAAGATTGTCATGATATTTACAGTGCGATATCGAATACTTATGAGATTTCACTGAGAAATCTTGGTAAATGTATTTAGTTAATTTACATTCATTTTATTTCGTATTAATTTTGAAATAGAACTTTGCGCTTAATGAAGACTTCCGAGTTAGAATTAACCCCTTGACTCCTAGCGACGTATAAATACGTCTGAATTCAGATGTATTTATACGTCGCTGGGATTTAAAAAACAACTCAGAAAAAAGATTTTGCTCTAAGTACTTCTCAGTTTTTTGATCTTATTGAGAAAAAAACAGTGAGAACATGAGGTTGTGATCATGTTCACAAGAGTTCGAAATTCTATTAAAATATTGTAACCTTGTGGAAATTACTTAGTTTTATGAAATACGTTCAAAAGATATCTTTGAGTCCGAACACAGCAAAATCATATGTAGTGGACTACTTATAGCTTTGCTACTACTTTAGGCCCCAACAAATTTATAGGAAAAGATGCGTCTTTTCACCCTCTACAACATATCCAAAACTCGTTTTAGGCTCTTGAAAAATGAGATCATAACAAGAATGAAAGAATAAAAACGATATGTCCAAATGACGGTTTTTAACATACTATAGCAGTCAGAGTAAATAAAGACATATGAAATAAAGGATTTTGTATCTCTATTGATAGGCACATTATGAAAAGAAAATCGATGTATTTTTTCCCAGAATTTTGTGACGTGTTCTTCTATGGGTTTTCATCCAGTCACATTGCGACCCCTCGAAAAAATGGTCCGATCGAGCTCAAAATTTTACCACAGATACTTCAAACCCTATCTCAGGTTCGTTTTTTTTCTTTTCAAAAAATATGCTTTCCTTCTCGAGATACCCCAAAAATGCTGGAAGTCACGCAAAAAACTCAGTTTTTTACA